ATTAATTTTACCTGAAGAAGAATTTAGTTTATTTTAAAGGCCCTCAAATATAGAACAGCTTCAGTTCACAAGTAAATCCGTCCAAAAAATTATTTTCGTTTAGAAATAATAATTTTATTATCTCACCGTCATAGTTTCGGATATAGTTGAAAATAGAATAAGACCATTTAAGGCTGTAAGAGGATATTTTGAAGGACATAAGAAATGAACTAGTGAATCAATCATAAAATGATTGAGCTCGACTCTTTATTAATGAACTAAACATGAACTCTAACCAGTCGAATTATAAACAATTACATTAAAAAAATATTTATAAGCCTTGGCTAGGCGAGCTAGGCTGACTTGTAAACAAAGTAGTTGGAACATGACTTATATATTAAACTAGTCGAATTGAACTCACAACCAGCTCATTTTGTTTAAAATCTCTAATCTTTTTATGAAAAATAATTGATTAATTTTACTTTTGGTACACTAATTAAGTTTGCATATTTTAAAAAATGATACACCAATTTGATTCTCATCCAGGTTAGTAGTAAACTAACTTGCCAAAATCATTAAATGATTCATTCGGGAACTTCTTATTAAAAAAATAATCAAAATTGGTACATTAATTAATTTACTAAAAGAACTGTAATTTTGTCAAAGTTTAAATTCCAAATAATATTTTAACTTCTAGAAATGGGTCGAAGTTAATCACACAAAGTTGTTTTCTACCACAGAAATAAAAAACATACATCAACACCAAAATCATACCATAGATAGAAAAGCAAAATAAATTTAACCAAAAGTTCTTCAAAACACCCCAACCACCACTACTCATCAGNTAATAATAATAATAATAATAATAATAATAATAATAATAATAATAATAATAATAATAATAATAATAATAAACTCAAGCCAGCGAGACATATTGTTAGAGCCTATAGAATTATGCCATCACAAACCTAATTAGTCTTTCATAATATAACTAAACTCACATATGAACACAACAAATCAAGCAGCGCCACTAACTTTGATTATTAAAAACTCAACTAATCAATTGAACATGAAAAGGTTTAATTAACTATGGCAGATTTGCCCAACTGTATGGAGTCATCATGACCGGATTGTAGTCTTCCACGTTAAGAACATAGCTGCATTCTCCGATCTCGTTGACGTTTGTGGGCCCACGTGGCTTGTCGGAGCTCGGCATTGACGTGCTCTCGACTGTCTCCTCACCAGAAACCTCCGTGTAGTTGGTCGAGATTTGTTTTTTTGCCACTTGATCTTTGAGTATTGCCCTTAGAGCCAAAACCTTGAAAATTTTGAAAATTGCAAATATAATTAAACACGATTTCGAACGAGCTACTCTCGAATTAATTAAACAATTTCAATAAGTTTGTTTACTATACTATTCATATTTGAGTAATTAATTTGACGAACAATTAAATGAACGAAATAAGTTTGAACATAATTGGATACCAGATCGAAATACTCAAGTTGGGCTCGTTCGTTTCGGTTACAACACTATATGAAGATTGTTTGCAAGAATTAATTGAAAGAATATTGCAACATATATAAGAATTAGTTTGTGTCCAAATTTCAATAAAAAGGGCCAAGTTAAAACTTTTGGGACCAAATGTATCAAGTCTAGGGATAACAAGTGCGATTGCCTACAACATACAATCATTATGCATGTCTAGTTTTTGTGTATAAGCAACAGACAAACCCAGAAAAAAGGTGTTGAGGGTGTAAATAAGAGGTCTTTTGTATGAAAATGACAAGTGATGTTTGTGTTGGGAAAAAAAAAGGTTCATAATCTTTTTCTACCTTCTATGATACCCCTTTGTTCAGGGGACTTGCTTT